TCAAAGTGCGCATTATTTCACACACTAAGCGTCCACATATATGTTTACAACATAAGACCAGTGTTTTCAACCACTAGCGAGTTTACCAAAATAGAAATGTCGTACATAATTATTTGAGTGAACACATTGTATTTTTTGTGTGTCTATAATTGAAGAGTCCATGACACTATATGGTATCGTTGACCGATCCGAGTTGGAGTACATGTTGGACAAACACACCGGCAGGCAGGCGAGGCTCGAGGAAGCGAGTAGGCGGGCGCTTGGATCGGATGAGCTCAATCAGAACGTACCCTCCAACGGGGACAAAAAGAACGACTTCACACAAGTCAACGTAGAGTTTGACCCCGACATAGGAAAACCACAGGTAATGTTCATATACTGTCCGTCAATTCCACATAAAATATTATTATTCGTTTTTCCGCTCTAATACAGAATTTTTTCTTGAAAGAGTGAGTAGAAATTCAACGTGTTTTTGCTCCTCGTTAATTTTTAAAACTCAAATGCATCGGGATGGGAATATCACATTTATCGATTTAGAAAAGACGTATCGTTTGATCAAATTTGTTATATCCAACTGCTTTTAGTTTAGTATTGAGTCAGGTATCTTATAGCAAGGTAGGGTATATATGCGGTTCGCGGGCAGTGATTTTTTTTTTTTTTTTTTTTTTACTTTTTCTAACCCGGACAGTTTTGGCTAGATAGTGTTAACATTTGGAAGCTTTATCAATGGTGGAATATGCTCAAAAACGATTTTAAAATATAGAGAACCGAGGCACGCGTATGTGATTAAAAGTCCCGAAAGTTTGTTTACGCTGCTCTTTGATCACAAGTCACTGATATATGCTACATAAAACGTAAATTGCAATTGACCTCACTGTGACGACGCATTGGTTGTGGAATACGGTAAAAGAGACCGAAGCATGCGCACTGCGTACACAAAATGCTAATTATCTTTAACAAGGTTATGACGTAGACATATCTCATGAATATTATTTGAAAGTGCAATTATTAATAGAAAGCATTTATTATTAAACGCCGGAATCACATATATTCGGTTTTGACCACCACTCTGTCTATTGTTGGTAATTTGAAGACTGTAAACGCTTTCTATCATACTAAACTGGTCACCAAACTTAACAACTGTTTCTGGCCTTT